ACGCTGCTGGAATGCCCTGTTCAGCACATTGAGCTGCTCGAGGACGTCTGCAAGGAAGTATAGCAGAAAGTGAAACCTGTAGCTCGTGGCGAGCTCGTAGAGGGTGATGTCCCACTCATACAGCATCACGATCAGCGCGGGGAAGACCTCTACCGCGCGCAGAATGGCGTCACCGCGGGAGAGCCAGCGGACGTCGTGGATCCCTTGTAGCTCCAGGTTTGTTTTCGTGAACACCTCCTGCAGGCCAATGAAGCGTTGATGCCACGGGCCAGAACGCCCCAAATGCTCTGCCACTTGGCGGAGCAGGGAGTCCACCATGCCGAACTCGGGGAGTTGTTCAGCGGCGTCCTTTGCTGCGAGGGCCTCCCTGCATGCACACCAGCATTAAAACCGGCTCAAGGAGGGGTTAGCAGGGGATGCAGCAGGGACTGTATGGAAGCAGTAAACAGAAGATGAAAACTGACCTGTGGGCGATGCAGTGGCTTGAAACAAGATGCGGGATGCGGAGGCGAAGTCGAGCGACAAGGCCGTTGTGTTTCCCCATCATCACACTCGCTCCGTCAGTGCTTATGCCGGATATCCTCGCCATTTCAATGCCTAGGGCCTGCAGGTGGGACAAGAGCACTGAGAGGAGAGAGGCTGCATCGCCCTTCTCCACGGTCAGCAGGGCAAGGAACTCAGTCACGGGACGATTTTCACGGATGAATGTCGCGAAAACAATCATATGCTTTCCCCGACACCTGTCCGTGCTTTCGTCGCACGTGACGCCAATAGATGGGCTGCTGAGGATGTGCTGCAGTTGCGTTGTGTGCAACCATGTGGCCATCGACTGTGTCAGCTGCCCGAAGCCGTAGCTGCAGCGCATGTCAAACAACACAACGTCAGATAATTCGGTTGAGTTTCACAAACACGGTTGCAGTTAGATTAATTCAACACTCACGTAGTATAATAGGTTCCGTAGCCTTTTGCTGGGAACCCGGGCACCTTGAGTCGCGCGAGGTAGCGCACAAGATTCACCCTTAACTCTATGGGTGCATCTTTCTTGGTCACGAAGAGCAGGGAGTCGAGGAGCTTGACGACCCGCTCCTTCTCCGTGTCGCGAGCGAGATTGTCGCCGTTGATCCGTGGCTGCGTAGCGGCGTCGTCGAGAAGCTTCTGCTGGTGTTTCAACGCCTCCTTGTGCTTGGTAGTTGCCGCATGCCGTTTGAACGCCTGCGTCTGAACGTCTGTGGCGCCCTTTCCGCCTCTCCCACACGGTCCAGCGTAGCCTGCGTGCTCCGTACAGATGCTGCACTTGAAAGCGGGGAAACCGTCAGCTTTTTTTAGCAGAATAAGCCAAGAAAACCGCTCGAGCCACTCGCTTTTGTACTTATACAGAGCCTCCGCGTAGGTTGCGTCTGGCCCTGCCGGTTTAGAAGGCCCAGGTGTTGAGGGCGACGCCTGCGTGCCTGCGGTCGCGGGCGTCGACAGTTGGTCGGCTGGCGAAGCCGGTGTTGCACCAGCGGGACCTCCCTTCTTGGGCCACGGCAGCGTTGACTGCGTGTACCTGGCGGAATTCTTAGCCACTGGCACCGCCGCAATTTCTTCACCTGAAGGGTTGGAGCTGTCTTGCTCCAACACGGGCGCAGTAGGGGAGGGACACAGAGGCTCGTCGATGGGTTCAAATGGAACATCGACGGTCGGCGCGACTGCAGGCGCCTTTCCATGGTTATCTACTGCCGCTAAGTTGGAGAATAGCAGATCCAGCCCGGTAACGGCCGCGGACAGATCAATTGGCGAACGACGAGCGGGTTCATCGCCGGGGTCATCAGGTCGTTCAATGGCGTCCGGGTGGTCCGCCATTGATTGCGCTGTGAACAAGCAGCATCTAACGGGACTCCCTAGCTAGCTGAACGATGGAGGTTTGCCAGGAAGAGAGGACACACGGCTGACTGCCTCTTGGTACACCAGGCAGCAACGCGATGAAACCTTACACATGCTAGATGGAAGGAAAGCATGGAGCAGACTGGGGTGGGAGACTGGATGGCTGGTAGCATGGCTGGGCGGCGTGGATGCATCCGTGCTTGCCAGCACGACTTAGACAAAACGGGCCAGAGGACCACAGATGCTTCACATGGGCCTGAATCCCTCGTTGCGCTGCCTGCCAGCATCGCTGTGCTGCAACCCTGTAATTGGCCAAATCAGGAAATGCTGTCAAAGTGGCCAATCATCGCACCACGCGCGCCAACAACGCATCCCTCTACGAGGCAAATTTGTCTGCTACTCACCGCCACGCCCTGCTGACACCGCGGGAATCTGATATTCCCTGTACAGCCGGGCAACTACACACGAACCGTGTAGGAATCGCTTTCAGGGTCGGATTCGTTACAACGTAGTGGAATCAGTGTCACTAAAAAAAATTTGCTGAAAGTTCAGAGTCATGTGCTAGGTGAAGGCTGAAAAATCAGCCCCACAAAAAGCTGAACACTGGAAAATCAGTGTAGGTTAAAAAAAAACCCTGGAAATCAGGAATTTCAGGGAAAAATTCCTGATATCGCCTTGCGCTGGTATGTGAGGGCAAAGTCGATTGATTAAAACAAAGAGATACAAGCTTTTATAATGTACAAGGGAATATGAAGGGTTATAACTAATAACTGTTTTGCTGTTGCTGTTGCGGTTTGATACAGTGTCGACTCGGGCAACTGCTCAATACCGTAGCGAGTCAGTTGTTTGTCCTTGCTGTCGCGCTGTACTTGTCAGGTCAAAGGTCGCTAACCTTTGACTTTCGCGTAACCTCCAGCACAGGGCCTCAGATTCGTTTTGGCGTAGGCTGACTGGTCAACCTTGGGAGTGTGTTCATGGCTGATCTGTCAGTGTTGTTGTTTAAAAAAAAACTGACTTTTCAGGGTGTATATTAAAAAAAAAAACTGAACGATCAGCGTCACTATTTGGTGAAGACTGAACCATTTCAAACAAGTTCTGCATTGATATAACAAACGTTTACAGGAAATCTAATTAAACATATCCTCATCCTCTTCATCATCATCACCCTCTTCACTATCACTAGAGCCTAAAGAGAGCGCCGCGGCCAGCGACGACCGCCGCCATGCTAGCTTCACGGGCAGACCGCGGCCCGTGAGGCACCATGGCGACGGGGGAAAGAGACAATCGGCGAGGCGAGGGGAAGGCGAGGCTGCGCGACGAGGGGAATGCGGGACGACTGGAGGCTGCAGGGAACGACGCGGAAGTTTGGCTCTGCGAGGGGAAAGGAAAGGGAGCAGAAAAGAAATATCTCTATCCTAAATCGTACTTACCTATTGGGCATACTGGTGTGTTGCTGCCGCACTGATGGGCTGCAGAGGAGAGCTGCAGAGGGATGCGGGTTGAGGAAAATACGGAGAGGAATACGGGAAGCACGAGGGAGTGAAAGCGGAATCGCGGTTCCCTCTATCCCTCGCAACTCCCTCTCCCACGCAGCTAACTATCTCCCTCGCAGCTCACTCTCTCCGTCTCAGCCTGATCAAACGGAAACGAGGGAACCAAATGCGGGGGGCGATGAGGAGTAACGAGAAACAAATGTCTGTAGATTCGTACCTACTAAGATGGCGTTGCTGCTGAGCTGAGCTCACGGGCTGAAAAGGAGTGGGTATTCCCGTCAAGGAATATGCACGAACGAGAAGTGCAGCTCACGGGCTCACGGATCATCGTACAGCGACGACCAGCTGCGACGCCAGCTTCGCTGGCGAACGCGGCCCGCACGGCGCCATGGCGACGGGGGGAAAGGGAAGCGTGGCGCAGCGAGGGGAAGGTGAGGCTGCGCGATGAGGGAATGACGCTAGGCGAGAAATACACCTGTAGAGTAGAAGAAGAACCACTTCTACTCTACAGGTGTCCAGTACAAGTGCCTTGCATCTCCAAGTGGAGGGACGAGAGGGAGGGGCTGCTGCGAGCGATGCAGGCGCCGAGAGTGGGGAGATGCTCAAAGCGAGAAAAGCGAAGGTGAAGGGAGTGAAGATCCAGGTGGGTGAGAAAGAAGCGGACGGTCTGCGACCAGTGGGGGTTTCATCTACAGTTGGTACAGGAAAGAAGAATCTCTACCGTATCCTTGAGCCAAGATACCTTCGCGAGAAGACAGCAGTGGAGTGAAAGTTCGTGAATGACCATTCCCGAATGCGTTGGCAAGGAATCTTGCCATTTCGGCGTGATTGACGGAGGGACGGTCGAACCGGTGTACCTAGACATCCGGAATTCAGGGCACCTACGCTAATCTCCATTACAGGGATTTCAGCCAACCCCTTCGTTACAACTCTGATGAGACAGCGTACACGACAGGAAAAAAGCTGATATTTCAGCACATACAGATTTAAAAACCCTGAAATTTCAGCAAACACACTTAAAAAAAAGCTGCCACAACAGCCCCACTATTCTCCCACCACTGAAATCACAGCCTTTTTACCCCTAATCAGCCTTTTTTCGCTGACTTCTGAGGGCCTGCTCCAGCAGTTGTTAAACATCCGAGGGTTGACTCACCAATGCTTCGATACGTTTCGCTTCGCTTCTGTCTTGGTGTTTCGACACGACAGAGGCGCTAAATCAATTGTTTCCAACAATGGGCCCACTCACCTGCTACACAAACCCTTTTGTCCCAGTGGCTAGTGGCTGAGATTCTGACATTCAGTGCGGTGCGATGCGAATCTGACACCAGAGGTTGGCCTGATAACATAGGAACAAGCCCTAAGAGGCTTCTTACTAACCTGTCAAAATCCTCACCAACTGTACTGCATGACTGCTGCCTACACCCAGTCCCGATTCCCTGGCACTGACGAGTCATGCACTGCTCTCCGGACTTTAGGCACCATTGCAGGACTGCAGGACTCCAAATCAAGACCCCCCTCACTCTATCAAAGTCACACCCATCCCCTCCCCCTCCAAACCCCTTACTTAGCTATTTTCCAGAAAGTCCCTGCACTAGACTTCTAAACTAGTTCCTAAAGAACGCATATGTATCCAAGGAGTTCATCCTAAAGTAATTTCTCCAGCTGAGTAAGCGCAGCTTTGCGCAGATCCAGCCACTCCTGCCCCATGTTCCCCCTCCGTTTGTCAAAGTCCTTCCAGCTGTCTAATTCCTCCGTCTCCAACGGGGACCGCCCATCAAAGTTCACAATCCGAGGGTGCGGGTAGTACTGATGCAACCTCTGCCGTAACCACAAATTTAGCCCGTATTCATAAGGCATGCGGTGCAGAGTGTTCTCCCTGTACCAGGTCCCATAATACGCGTTTAGAAACAGGTCCAGATACACCGTCTGCTGCGGGCGCAAGGGGGCCAACTCAATCGCCGAAACCATGTGGCGGAAAGTTGCGGAGTGCGGTTGAATCAGCATCACTCTGGTAGAGAACATGTCTGGCGGGAAGCGAAGCGGCGGGGCAGCGAATGGGCGAAACTCGCCGAACATGTGGTTACAGTTATCCTTGAAGAGCGAAAGCGGGTCGACATAAACAACCCTCCGAAAATCCGTCTGGTTCCAAAGATGCAAAACGACAAACTCCTCCGCAAGCTCCCTCCTCCCTCTGCCTTCCCATACCGAAATCGGCTCCACCACGCGAACATGCGTGAACAACCGGCGAAGATTCGCGAGTGCTGGTTCGGGAACAGAGGAGAGCGCGAGGACAAGCGTGTCGTGCCGCGTAAGCAGGAGTAACTCTTCCGTCTGCTCCTCCGCCAGACTGCTGCTGTTGCCGCTGTCTCCTCCTCTGTTCCTGTTCTGCCGGCGCTGTCCCTGCAGCTGCTGCTCCACCTGAGCAGGATCGTGGTACTTGTCGTACGACATCGCCCACGCGTATGCGTGCTCCACGCTCGCAGGACCCACCACCGTCGCAAACACCATCTTCCTCGCGCTCCTCGCAGCAACCACAGCAGCATCATCAGCGGTAGCAGCAGCATCCATCTCCTCATCATCCTCCACCCCCACATCAATTTCTGCTGCCAAGGTAGGTCGTCTCCACATAGACGCTCGCTGAACCTCCACAACCGCTTGCACCTTCTCCCCCTTCTCCCCCTCCTTCCCCGCCTTTTTCTCCATCTGCTGCCCCTCCTCCTCCCCCACCCCCTTCTCCCACCCTCCCTCTGCCAAATTACCCACCGCTCCCACTTCCCCTCTCCTCGCTTCCCTCTCCGCTTTCCCCCCGACCCGTCCCCTTTGCGCGTTCTGCATCTGCGCCTCCTCCCCCAGCAGCCCCCTCGAGCGCCCCGCCACGCGCACCCACTCGTAGTCCTCCTTATTGGGCAACCCGTTAACCAGCAACGCCTCCACTTTCGCCCTTTCCAGCGGACGCCAGCAATTCGCGAACAACGCCTGCGACAACTCGAACCACATCGCCAACCACCTGGTAACCGGCTGCCGCCCCTTCTCCCAACAGCGGTGCGTGCACGCATTCGGCCCCGACACGGGTTTAATCTTCCCGAACCCTGCCGGCTTCCCCCACGGGCCGCCATAGTGGAGAATCATGACGGGTCCAAGAATCTCGTGTGCGTTTTCCGGGTCGTACCATGGGGGAGGGGGGTACTGGTCGGGGTACGTCAGCATGGCGTTATAACGGTAGTGGAGGCGGTGCGACGTCGTCTGGTTGGGGTAGTTCGTGAAGAAGGCGTTTAAGAAGCCCTGGTCGCCGCGATCCACGGAGCCGATCACGTCGATGCTGCGCAGGAGCGCGTCGTATGTGGCCTGGGGGAAGAGAGGGGCGAGAGGGGCGAGAGGGGCGAGAGGGGCGAGAGGGGAGGAGAGGAGGGAAGGGAAGGGAGAAAGAGAGGGAAAGGGAGGCGGGTGGAGAGAGGGAAGGGGAAGGAGGAACACGAGCATTGTTAATGAGGAGGAAAACGGCCGAGTCGGCGGATCATGTGAAGGACTGGTGAGGAGAAGATCCTCTGCAGGATTACCACTTTCGTCCTGCAGGATCCTCTTCAGGATTACCACGCGTTACGCTGCATGGAACCACACAAGCAACGGCAACTGCAACCGAAGAACCGAAACAGCACATCACATCAGTTGATTCACTGTAGATGGCTCACCAGCGACGGCTTGACAACCATGATACCCGCGTTGAATTGGTTGACCAAGAAGAATCCAGGCGCTCCGGTGATCTCGGGCCGCTCGAAGAAGTGGTCCACATTCGCGAGCGGCAGGGTATCCACGTCCAAGTACACGACTTTGGCGAACTCCACCATTCGCCAAACGTGAAACTTCGTGAAAAATATCGCCTTGAACGGGTTCGGGATCCACTCCACTCGTATAACCGCATCGAAAAAGTCGTGTAGCTGAGGAGGCACTGTAGACATTTCTCCTCCGTCGGCAATCATCAGCACGATGTGGTGCGGCGTGCGAGTCGCACGCAACGCCTGCGCGAAAACGATCGCGGATGCGACGAGATTCTTCCCCGTGATCAACGTCACGTAGGCGAAAGATGGCCCTCCCGCCAACGCCGCCGTTCCGGCGGAAGAAGCAACACCAGCACTTGCAGAACGTTTTTCTCGATCGTTCTCACGCCCGCCGGACGACCACGGCCATAGCCACGCCTGCTGCCGAGCTGCTAAGCGCTTCTTCTCCTCCAGGTGCTCGCACAGCCTGCCGCCGTTGGCCGTTTTCGAGCCCGCTTGTAGGGCGGACAGGGCAAGGCGATTCGTGGAAAAGGAAACGGCGGATTTTTCTCCCCCCTGTGCGGAGCATTGCGAGAGGTCGAGCGCGTCGGAGTCGTAGGCGGAGAGCATGGGCGGAACGCGGCAATGCTGGGCATGGGGGGAACGGGGAGCGGGAAAGACGGGAAGCGGGGAGGGGAAGGGGGGTGAGGTGAGGGTGTGGTGAGGGAGGGGTAGGTGGAACGAGTGGTAAGTCAAGGAGTTGAATGGGAAGCCTCGGTGGGTGGAGGGGAGGGGGGGGGGGGGGGGGGGGGGGGGTGGGGGGGGGGTGGGGGGGGGTGATGACTGGAGCAAAAGTAAGGAGGGGAGGAGGAGGGGGATAAAGAAGAAACGGAGTGTACAGAAGCCCGCTGTTGTAAGTGCACTTTTATTAGGTTGCACTAAGAATTCCAGTCCCACACGGACGATATGACTCCACTGGCCTCGCTGCTCACCTCGCCCAGCATCGTCGCGAGCTGTTCACTCGAGTTGACATCAGACGACCAGATTAGGGCTACGTCCACGGTCAGCGGCAGCAGCAGCAGCAGCGGCAGCGCCATCACCGCTGCCACCGTCGCGAGCCGGCTTCTGTGCCAGCCTTGCCATCCCACGCCGAGAACCACGCGAGATGTGAGAGTCTTTGCCATGGGAGTCAGAGTAAGTGAAGAACCAAAGAGTTAGTAGGCAGAGTAGTATCTAAAGATTTCTGAGCACACGCGTTTTCACGCCTGCCTTCCACCAAGCCTGCCCGAAGGCTTTCCGATATGGGCCTTGGCTTATAGCTATGGCTGTAAATCTGGTTGCAACACGATGCAATCCCTTGTTGAGGGATTCTTCTGTACGATTCGCGCTCGTTTGAGTGAAGAAAGCCCACTATCGGAGACATGTGGGAAGCACATGAAGTGCCTGCATAGTGTGAAGAACAGGGGAGTCAAGGATTTCAGGGTGGTACACTCGCCGTCCAGTCCAACGAAAGCAGCCTGTTTACAGGCTAGTACAACTCCCTTACGCTCAACTTCGTTTCGTCACGGTGCAAAACGGTAAACCTTGAGAACCGCTTCCCACTGTGTGCAAACGTCCTGAGCCACGATACAAGAGCTGTAAATTCGCGACAAATGTGCGAGAATTGCGCAACCTGACGTCGTAAACGAGCTAGCATTCTTCCCTTGTACGAACGTAACGCGCTCCGAGCGGCGCACTGCTGGCTTTTTGGCAGAACTGCTTCGCGCACTGCTTCGCGTTCTGCCAAAAAGCCACATGGCGGGACCACTGCTGGCTTTTTGAGCAAGCACGCGAAGGGGGTGGTACAATTGCAGGCAGCGGTCCCGCCATGTGTCGTTCTGGCTGAGGGGATGGGATGGGAAGTGATACAGATAGCTTCCTCCTCGCCTCTCCTCGCCTTCCATAATCTTTATTCGCCCTGCCCCACCACACTCGGCCGGGTCACCCACCAGTGCTTGGCTGGCAACCAGCATCCTTCCTGCAGCTCGGCTGGAATCGAAATTGCGCTTCGGACAGAATTTAACCGCTTCGCCTACATCTCGCAGGCCCCTGTGATTCGTCGATGCCCTGCTTAGTCGTTCATCTGGTTGGTTTGGTCTGGTTCGGAAGTGTCAGACTTGGCTTGGTCAAGGCACAGATACTGCCATTACAGTACAAAGCAGTCTATAGCGTGAAATGTCAGTAAATTGAAGACATGTACTTAAACACTAACCTTATTGCTTTGTATCAATGTTCAGTACTCTACCTTGATAATACACATTATAGAAAAAACAACAAGAACAAAATAAAACCAAACAATTTAGGCAGTCAAATGATCAAGTCGATTTTTTATTCAAGATGTTAGCGGAAAATGAATATTTGGAATCTTGTCAAATACCGACCATAGACTTCCGAGGTCCTGGCCTTGCTAGAGTTGAATGTTTTCCACCCATGTTGTATAATACATTTTTACAGTCGAACACTCCGCATTGCAACTCGTAACACGATTGAAAAGCCAAATAGGGTTGTAACGCAGATGCAATCAAGCAGATCTAGCAGTTCAGATGGGCACCTGTCAATTTGAAATATCGTGGATCTGGGGCATGTGCGAATCTCCGCCACGACATTTTGATTGGAAGTTGCATGCCTAAAACTTTTTAGATTGGAAGTTGAGAGTGACATGCTGGACCGGACGGAAAACACCCCAGATAAGTCAGCCAGGTCAGCGGGACATGTGGCATCCGCAGCACTTTCCGCCACGTGGACGCTACTACGTTTTTCTCACCTTTCAGCTTCTGGATGGTCGCTTTCACCTGAGAATCTGGCGAGAAGTTTACGAACGGCACGAGAATCCCAAGGAGGTTTCCCGCATCGCTTCTACATTCGTCAACGGCGGATATCTCAAGAAACGCTTTGCGAAATCGGTTTCAACTCCTTCGCGAAGTCACCCGCGAACCGCTCCCTGATTTTTGTCATGCGATTTGACCCTCTACTTCCTCATACGGCCGATCCTTGTTCACTCCTACTCATGTCTCTTTTGCCCCTTGTACGCACCTGATCAGAAGTGCTCCTCAAGGCGTGTCACCTCGAACGTTCAAAGGGACTTGTTCAAACACGCACCGTACTAAACCAAACTGTTTTTCATTCTAAATGTACTGTACCACAGCCAATCCCCAGAAATTCGAAATTCGAACAGCTGGTTACCACCCGAGGTGACACGCCCTCAACCCCAGACTCCAGATCTGACCAGCTGAAATCCATTTCTTCTCCTCAATTTCATTTCCGTTCTTTCCTGCAAATCTTTCATAAGCTGACTTGCTTGCTCTTTGCTGACCAGCCTAAGCAAGAGACAGTAAGGAATCTGCTCCCAGCATCTGCTACCCTTCCATCTGCTGAAACCAGAGGAAATGGCCGCTGCTACCTGCACAACCGCCATGGCTGCTGTTGCTGCAGTCAGGAGCTGCACCAGCGGTGCGGTTTCCGCCAGGGCCGCTGTCAAGGCGGTCCCTCTGGCTTGCTCCGCAATCTCCGCCAGCTCGTCGGCCAAGATCTCCTCGTTCTCTGCTTTCTCTAACGTCTCGTCTCTCGCTGCTACGACGAACGTCAGCCAGAAGAGATCATCTCGCGGTATTGCTTCGTCCCTCGTATACACTGTACAATTACACATTTATGATATATTTTTTTACAGAAGTCAGTCATGCGAGTTTCTTTTTGTTGATCATGAATCCCGAATCAAGTGTCACAAAAGGACATGTCGAGTTGACAACAACGTTTCTCATTCTCTTCGAACGGTTCGTGAAGAACACGCTCTCAAGTATGCATGGTTTACGCCTGTATATGTTCCCTCCTTGCAGCTTTTTCCGTGCGTGCTGAAGCCGCAGCAGACGCCCCCGTGTGCGTTGTCACTGGTGCTTCTCGCGGTATCGGCCGGGCTATTGCTCTTGCCTTCGGCAAGGCTGGTTGCAAGGTAACTCCTCATCGATGGGTACTCGTTTGTGTAGTTTTGTATAGTAGAACACCTTCTCTTGACAATCCATATCCCTCTCCCTCTCCCTCAACCCCCTCTCTCTCCCCCTCTCCCTCTTCCTCTCCCTCTCTCCCTCGCTTTTCCTCGCTTATACCTGTCTTCCATTCGTTTCTACCTGTGTGAATCATCACAGGTGGTGATCAACTACATCCTTAGCCCAGAACCAGCCGAAGAGCTCGCCGCAGAGGTGCGTACAGCCGGTGACGGTACGCATTCCCTTTGTCTGGGTGACCTCACTGTCTTTTTGTCCGTTCCTCCTTCCCCCGTCCGTCGCGTGGTACACGCGGTCGTCGTCACTCTATCCGCTGTTGCATTGTTTGTCTATCTCCGTCGACGCGTTAACCCGGCTTCGCGACTCTCATCTCACATCCTCTTTTGCGCTTCATGCCTCCGTATCTCCTCGTCTGCGTCTCATGTCTCCCTATCTCCCCGTCTGTCAGATTGAGGCTGCAGGAGGCTCCGCCTTTCTTTACAATGCTGACGTCACCAGCGACGAACAGATCGACGCCATGTACAAAGCGGTGAGCGACTCAGTCACTCGGGAAAGTTTATGTAGCGACGCTTTGGAAACTTCTCGAATATAGTATCTCTGCTCCCGCAGTTGTTTTTTTTCCTCATCTCGTACTCCGAGTGCGTACCCTACTTCCCCATTTCTCGCCCTTTTTCAACCCCTCGCTGATCACGATCTCGATCCGTATTCCTCATTTTCGCTCCCTGCGTTCGTCGTCTTCCTTTCTCAACAGATTCTGGAGAAGTGGGGCACTGTTGACGTGCTCGTGAATAACGCTGGTACGCTTTCGTAGCATCCCCTTATCGGACGCTCGTTTTATTGCACCAGCGCGGTCTTAATTCCCTGAACCCGCTTCTCACCACATCCATCTCATCCCCCTCTCCGATCCCCCTCTCCGTCTTCCAAGCCTGGCTTTACTTGCTTTCCACAGTCATCTGCAGTTGATTTGTAGCCTGTCGGTAACCCTCGTACTTGTCGCGACGATCCCATTTGTACGACAATCGCTCGCTGATGGCAGATGTTATCGAGTGTTTTTTGTTCATTCGTTACATCTCAACTGCCCTCCCCTCATCTCACCTCCCCGTCCGCCCGTGGGCCGTTCGTCCTTCGTCGTGCATCGTGTCGTGCAGGCATCACGCGCGACACGCTGCTGACGCGCATGACCATGAAGCAATGGGACGACGTGATCAACATCAACCTCACGTCCGTCTTCCGCTGCACGCAGGGCGCCGTCAAGATCATGATGAAGAAGAGAAAGGTACGGACGGCGACGCAAGTGACCGTGACTGTGACCGAGGGACAGAAAGTACGAACTCGACCCCTAGAAGTTCCCATCCTTGGTTCGTTGGCGCTGAACTAACATTCTTGGGAACTTGAAAGCTCTTCCTGTGCTCCATTATTGCCAAGAATGGAAACGAAGGGAGCAAGGGTATGTTGCAGTATTCGTGATTTCGCCATGCTGTGGTTAGGTTTTTACTTCCCCTCGCAACCGCTCTGTATTGATCTGTATTCCTTGTGCCCATCTCCCGCGACCAGGGTCGCATTGTCAACATTGCGTCGGTTGTCGGAGTCACTGGAAATGCTGGCCAAGCCAACTATTCCGCCTCCAAGGCTGGTGTAAGTGTCTCAAAACTTTCTGGTTCCTGTCATATTTCCCTTTCTCCTTGTGCCTTCGCTTTTGTGCTATTGATATTTTGCTGTTCTGTGTTCGTTCTGATCTTCTACCTGTACTCGATCCCACCATTTCGTTCCCTCTGGCATCCCTTTACCCGTTGTTGTAGTTGTCTTCCATTCCTGATCCCTCTCCTTGATTTCTGTATGCAGGTCATTGGCTTCACTAAGACTATTGCTCGCGAGTACTCTGGCCGTAACATCATCGTACGTGTGTGCTTGTTGAATACGTAGTGTACTTGAATTACTGTCTCTCTTTGCCGTCCATTGCGTCATTTTCAGTCTCGCGCGAAACCCTAAGTTGCTCTTTGAGTCCATGTCGCACTGCCTCGTAACATCTCTGCCCCTCTGTCTTGTTTCTCCACAACATACCTGATTCCTATTTTCCCGCCTTGAGCTTCTCTCCTCCCTTCATCTCGTTCATCTCTACACATTCCTGTGTGCCTCAGGCCAATGCCATTGCTCCGGGCTTCATTGCCTCGGATATGACAGCGGGACTCGGCCCTGAGATTGAGAAGAAGATTCTTGCTGGCATTCCCCTTGGTACGTGTTGTGTGCTCCTGCTCTTGGGCTGCTCACGAGATTGAAGCTGTTGCTATTTTGCACTGATTTCGGGGTTTTCATGTCTCTTTGTACGTGACTCTGTCTTCACCCGGCGTTTCCAATGCAGGCCGTCTGGGAACGCCTGACGAGGTGGCAGGCCTGGTCAAGTTCCTTGCTCTCGACCCCGCTTCAGCTTACATCACTGGGCAGGTTTGTTCCTGTGACACACACCCAATGCCCACGTTTGTGTGGTCCTCGTCAGTCCTCGTCTGCATCACTAACCCAGTTTGTTCCTTGCTTACTGCACCTGAGCCTGCATCTGCATGTGGTTGTGTTGAGGGTTTGACCCAACGATGTCTTTTCACTGAAACGTGCGCTTGGTTATGTTCCTTCCCAGGTGGTCCACATCGATGGTGGTATGGTGATGTGATTGGGATTGCAGGCTCGATATCTTTAGGTTGTGTGTGAGGTCTGGAGTTGTGTGATCCACTTTGATCTGGGCAAATATGTGAAATCGTATGTTGTAGGCCACTGTCCTGCTGCTGCAGTGCCAGAGTTGTGCTAGCACATAACCAAGACATGATTCTTGCGCTTGAAGCAAACAGATAATGCCCTGCCAAACAGATGGTAATCCTCAAATGGCAGGTGCAATCGTACCAGATACTACTGTAGTTACCCAGATATATACCCCACTAAAGTGGAATACAGTACAAGAAAGGGACAATAACAATAAAGTCAGAGAGCATTACAAGTGCAATTGAGTGAGCGAGCGAGAATTGAACTATCTAAGCAACAAGTACATTGTGCGAAGGCATGAGCAAAGAATATATAGCGAAGCCTAGAGTGGTACCCGTAATACCCCGGATATTGTTGGGCTGAGAAAAGCCCTTAGAATCTTTGCAGGACTAAATTCTGAGTAGAACAATGTAATAGCGGAAGCGTTTAATGAAAGGTTTGTGAACCACCCTGCGCTGGTATGTGGGGGCAAAGTAGATTGATTAAAACAAAGGGATACAAGCTTTTATAAGAGTACAAGGGAATATGAACAGTTACCGTATAACTAATAACTGTTTTGCTGTTGCTGTTGCGGTTCGATACAGTGACGACTCGGGCAACTGTTCAATAACGAGTCAGTTGTTTGTCCTTGCTGTCGCACTGTACTTGTCAGGTCAAAGATCGCTGACCTTTGACTTTCGCGTAACCTCCAGCAGTTGCTCAACCTCCGAGGGTTGACTCGCCAATGCTTCGATATGTTCTGCTTCGCTTATGACTTAGTGTTTCGACACGACAGAGGCGTTTAAGTTACTTGTTTCCAACACTCCCCTTCGCTTCTGGAGTGTCGCTACTGGTGACGTGGCTCTGTCCAGTCAGCAGCATGCAGTACTCGAACTTCTGCTTTCCGAGCTTCTTGGTCAAGTAATCAGCTGCCATCTCGGACGTGGGGCAGTAGGATAATTCGAGTCTCTTAAGATAGGCTAGGAGACAAGTGTCGAGAGTAATGTTTGAGTAAGGAGGGACAAGGAGATACAAATGTTGACCTAAAGTGTTGTACCCTTTAGAGGGCAACTCACAGTAGCCTATCTAACAATATATAGAATATATAAACATTTGACACACCCCCATAGGCTAAGTGAGGGGCATCAAAACAACCAACGGAAACAAGGGGTCACAAGACCAGTCAAGAACAAGCATAAAAAAAAACAAAGCTCAGGGTGGCGCTCAGAGTCACCACACACTCCGAGCACAAGCAAGTGGCCACAAGGCCAGTTCAAGAGTTTACTAGTATATATAGAAGCACAACAAGTAGAGCAAACAGCAAGTCTACAGCAACCGAGGGCCTACCTCAACAAGCCCCAACTGCACACAGAACCTGTGGTGGTCACCAGGCGCCAAGGCCTTGGTGAAGACGTCGGCAGTGTTGGCCTGTGAGGCCACAAAGTCCAAACGTGCCTGACCGCGTCGCTGCAACTCTCGCAGGAGGAAGTACCTCACGTCAATATGCTTCACTCTGCTCTCCAGTCGAGGCTCTCGACACAGGAGGATCATGGCCTTGTTGTCAGCGTACAAGGTCGGTGCAGAGCGAGGCCGCTCACCAAGGTCGGCGAGCAAGAAGGTCAACCAGCGAAGCTCCTGTGCCGCCATGGCACCAGCGTAGATCTCTGCCTCTGCACTGGAAGTAGCCACAGACGACGACCGTGTAGACCTCCACGACACAGCACCAGCTCCCAGACTGAAGCAGTAACCCTGAGTCGAACGCTGAGTCTCCACGTCGTCAGCGTAGGAAGAGTCGCAGTGACCAGTCAACGCCACTGGCTGAGTCCCTCCAAGCACAAGCCCCATGCCTGATGTAGTCGCCAGGTACTTCGCCACCCTCACAGCAGCTGTCCAGTGGACAGGGCGGTGTCTCCCAGTCGCAACAAAGCGAGAAAGGATGCTGAGTGGAAAGGCGAGGTCCGGTCGAGTACAAGTCATCAGGTACATGAGGCAGCCCACCAGCTCTGCGTAGGGTCCACTGGACTCAAAGGGCTCGTCAGGAAAGGGGCCCGTGAGTCTGTGGTCAACAGCAAGAGGAGTGGGCTGTGTGGTGGAGAACTGGAAGTCGAACCGCCGAAGGATCTGCTGCACCATGTGTGACTGCGTCAGTGTGATGGTGCGAGCGGCTCTGTCCCGGGTGATCTGCAGGCCAAGGTAGCGCTGCAGCTCACCCAGGTCAGTGCACTTGTGTCTCTTCTGCAGTTCGGACTTCACCTGAGCCAGGGCTGCCCTGTCTGCTGTAGCAAACACCAAGTCGTCGACATAGACAAGGATAAAGAAAGGAGTAGAACCCGCTCGAACAAACAGCGACGGGTCGGCGGAGGACGGGCTGAACCCAAGGTCACGAAGCGTGGAGCGAAGAGTGTCGTGCCACTCACGGGGCGACTGGCGGAGACCGTAGACTGGTCGCCTCAGGCTCCACTGGGTCCCAGGTGGGAAGGTGTCAGTGAAGCCAGGAGGACGGCGCAGCCAGATCTCCTCGTGTAGTCGGCCCTGGAGGAACGCAGTGGAGAAGTCGAGGGAGTGCAGCTCGTAGTCTCGCTGCGCTGCTATGTGGAGTAACACCCGAAGAGTAGTCATCTTCGGGGTCGGGGCGAAGGTCTGGAAGAAGTCAACTCCCTCACGCTGACTGAAGCCCCTAGCCACGTAGCGCGCCTTGAACACCGGCGGTGCTCCAGGCGGCCGCTTCACCTTGAAGAGCCACATGCCATCGACTACGTTCGCCCTGGGAGGGGGAACTGCGTCGACGTAGGTGCCTGTGGATCTCCAAGACGCCAACTCTGAGTCCATAGCCGCTTTCCACTGAGAGGCCCACGCCCCTGACACTGCCTCGCGGTAAGTGCGAGGAGTCGGTATGTCAAGGGCGTCGGGGTCTCCCTCAGGGGAGAGCAGCATGGCACACACAGAGGGAGAAGCGGCTGCCCAGTACTCCAGCTCAGACTCTCTGTCCTCTAGGACGTCACAGCCAAGGGCAAACCCACCCCCGACGGACAGAGGACGGTAGGGAGGAGCTGGCACCACACGGGTGGCGTAGTCAAGGTGGCTGGCGGCAGCAAACTCAGCGACAGCGGCAGTAAGAGCCGAGGCAGACGACGGAGGGAAACGAGAGTCGGTGACAAGAGTGGCGAGGACACGTGCGGCAACAGGACGAACAACGCGGTAATAGTCAGAGATAGGAGTGGGGAGGGCTGGTAGGGAGGACGGAGGAGGAGACGGGAGAACGGACACAGGAGAAGGAGAACGACGACGAGACGAACAAAGGAGGGCAGTGTGGAGGTCAGTAACAGGGGACGAGTGACGAGCACGCGGAGGACAACGAGTGATCAGGTCGCGACGGACAGAGGGAGGAGGAGAAGACCAGACCGCCGGACGGTCGTCAGGAGGAGGCAACGGAGGAACAAACACAGGAGGAGACTGGGAGCGGACAGGAGGAGAGGAGGAAAGGCCAAGGGCCCGCAGGCCACTCACAGGTGGGAACAACCGCCGCTCCAGAGGAAGCTGCGGTGGCGGCTGCGGCCGCTGCTGCTGCGGCTGCGGCTGCTGCTGCTGCGGCTGCGGCTGCGGCTGCTGCTGCTGCTGCTGCTGCTGCTGCTGCCGCTGCTGCTCCAGAAGGTCCAGCACCCGCAGCTCCTGCCGCTCCCTCTCCAACCGCTCCTGCTCCTCACGTTCACGCCGACGGGCAGCCTGGAGACGCGTGTCGTGGCGGTGGGGAGGCGGAGTGGACTCCGCAGAACCAGGGTCTCCAGCGTCAGTCCCCTCAGACTCAGCACCCCCAGAACCAGCACCGCCAGTGCCAGGACCTCCAACTCCAGCACCCCCAGAACTAGCACCGCCAGTGCCCGCACCCCCAACTCCAGCACCCCCAGAACCAGCACCTCCAGTGCCGGCACCTCCTGCTCCAGCACCCCCAGAGCTAGCGCCACCTGCGCCAGCACCTCCAGCTCCAGCACCCCCAGAGCTAGCGTCACGTGCGCCAGCACCTCCAGCTCCAGTACCCCGCGACCGAGCACCCCCAGACCGAGCACCGCCAGCGGCTGCACCTCCAGCTCCAACACCAACCGAGTCCAAAGTAACCTGTCGCGGAAGTGCCGAAGGCTGCTGAGGGGACTGTGAGGAGGACTGCGGGGAGGGAGACGCTACCTGACGCGCGACCGAGGGTAGAGGGGTAGCGTGGGACACACCAGACGGGGCAGGACCTGGGGGGGGCGGGGGTACCGGAGGAGCGGGAGCAGGAGGAGGAGAGGGTGCGAGGAAGAGAGGGGGAGGGGGTACCGGGAGACCTCGACAGGGGTACCGGGTGTAGTAGGACACGGACTCGTCAAACCGGACGTCACGGGAGTCTAGGAACTGGTGGAGGGGAGGGTGGTAAAAGGACCAGTCAGCAGAGTCCACTGGGAAACCAAGGAAGACACATGGGACGGCGCGTGCCGAGAGCTTGTCCGCGGAGGTGTCGCGAACAAGTGCAAGGCAGCCCCAGACTCGAAAGGCCGACCCAACACCAGGGGATCCAGTCCAAAGACTGGTCGGTGAAGCCTCGGGCCGCGAGACACGCGGCTGGAGGTTCAGCTGGTGTGCGGCGTAGCGAACCGCGTGGGGCCACAGAAAATGGGGCGCACGGGCTTGAATCATGGACGTGCGGGCGATGTCCATGACCAAGCCTATGCGGCGCTCAGCAACCCCATTCTGCTGTGGGGACTCTGGCAGCGTCCAGGACTGGGTGATGCCCTGTTCGCCGCAGAATCCGCCGAGAATGCCGGAGCGAAACTCGCCCCCACGGTCGGAGTGAAGACAACTGACTCGACGACCACGAGTGCCCTCAGTGGCTAGAAGCCACCTGATCAGCGTAGCAGTCACCTCGGACTTCTTCGCAAGAGGGAACACTGTGGTGTACCTGGA